CTTGTATTTCTCTTTCATTATTTTTCATTCTTCAGTTTCTCTCTTCTTCCTTCTGATTTATTTCTAGATTTCTGTCTTCAGTATCACTGATCCTTTCCTCCATTTGGTCGACTCTATTTCTCAAGATTGTTATTTCATTTTTCAACTCTTGCAGTATGTTCTTTATCTCCAGAAGGTCTATTCAGGTTTTTTTTGAGAGTTTCAATCTCCTTGCTAAAGAACTCATTCTGCTCATCTGGTTGTTTTTTTCAATTCCTGAAATTGCTGATATGGTTCATTTCAGATCTCATTGAGTTTTTTCAGAAGTACCACCCTGAATTCTCTTTCATTTAAGTCACATATTTCCATGTCTGTAAGCTTATTTTCTAGAGATTTTTCTCTTTCTTTCTGAGATGCCTGGTCACCTTCGTTGTTCATGGTGTTTAATGGACTATTTCTCCACCTGGGCATTAATGAAAGTGTGTTCCGCTTTTTCTTTTTCTTTTTTCTTTTTCCCAGAAAGAAGATTTATTATATAATGGTCTGTAGCTTGTTGCAAATAAGGTATTTTTCTTTTGGTTTCCAGTAGGTAGCGTCTAAGTCTCTTGGATCTCTGTTTTATATAAAGTCTTAATAATGCCTTTTTTTTTCCTTATAGATATTTAATCACACTCGCTACCCTCAGTCTCAGTTCCTTTCAGTGTTAGCGACAGTTTTGGTAGTGTTCGCTCTCCTGAGGATTTGCTGCGTTCCGTCTCAGAGGGTATGGGGGAGGAGCCATCTGGTTTGGGGGATGGAGGATGCGGCTCAGCCCTGGTATATATTTTTCATATAGATTTCCAAGTAGTATCTTTTAAGGAGAGAAATAATCATATTGTCATAATAACTTATATTTTCTTCATATAATATCATAACATATTTTCATTATAATTAAATAATGAATTTAGGCATGTTCTTTGCAAATTCTTCATAAATAAAATCAAAATTTAATCCACATGAATATCTTTTGAAAAGAATTATTGAATTTACAAGTGTACATTAAGTATTTAATGAAGTTTATTTAAGTAATAATATAAAAAGAAAAAATTATTATGAAAAAAATCTCTGGAGATAAGAGTGGACAATTGAATCTGACACATTTCCAGAGAAGTGGAAATTTCAAAGACCTAAAAGACTATGGTATTTAAAGTGAAGGAGCACAAAGGTTTAAGTAAAATGTTAAAGAACTTTTCTGATGGTTCTGTAAGTAATGATCCATCCAAGGGAATGAAGCCCAAGGCTCTGTCTTGGGGCTTTCAGAATAGACTAGATAACCTTGGAAGTGAATAATGAATTTAAGTTTTTCTAACAATATTTTGGAGTAATGATTAAAGCTATTTATTTCCCCAAGAAGTTATTTTAAAAGTTTCAAGAAAAGGACCCAATTCTTGACTCATTCACAATGTTTGATGTTGCAGGTGACCTCTCGTGAAGGACAAGTATGTCAGTACTGCTATCACAAATTGATTCTTGACTCTGCACAGCAAATTTTTATTCTTTATTGTTTTGACTTACTGCAAATGCCATCCAGCAAATGCCAGGGGTTTATATGCTTTAGACTTAGCACTTACTGTTTCTCCTCCACCCCCACACCTTCTACCCCCAGGATTGCAAGTCATGGCAACCTTGGAAAAAGTCCCGCTTGAGAAACCTTTTAGGAGGCCATATACTACATACACAACCAGCACCATCTCAAAACGGTACTGGAACATAGTGAGCCACCATGCCCCTGCCATCATCTATGACTTTTATCTAATACTCACGGGAAGGAAGCCCAGGTAAGAAGCTAGGTCAAGCTTTAAGAGTATAATTGCCTGGAAAATTAGGGGCCCAAGTGCTTAACCCTGCCTTCAGCTGGGGATCAAAGGTGACAATGGAATCTAATGTGTATATATATATGTAAATTTGGGGACAACCAAAGCAATAATAGTGAGAAGCCCCAAAGAACCCCTATCTTAAAAATGCGCCATCATAATGATGCAAGTTAAATGTTAAGGAACTTGTTTGATGAATTCAGCAAGTAATCATCCATCTAAAAAGAAAAGCAACTGAGACTTGTGTCTGGGCTTTTCTAAACTGTTAGATAATCTTAAAATGTATGATTATCTAACAGTAACAGCCTCTTACACATGGGTAGATGCATGATCTCATTTTCATTTTCACAATGACCCAAAGAGGATATTCTCATTATCCTAATTTTAAAAATAAGAAAACAGAAGCTAAGGATAGTATTTAAAGTAGACTCAAAGGAAGTGACAGGGGAAAGGTTTGGAGAAAACCAAACTAGATCTACTGCCACCTGGAGATGAGTAAAAAAATTAGAGGTAAAAAGATAGAGTGAAAAGTAAGCAGATTTTGAGGCAGCTCTGTCACCATCTAACTGTGCAACATAGGACACATCCCTTTCTCTCTTTGTCTCACTTGAATATTAGATGTGACTGAGGAGTAATCAGTATTATAATTACCAAAGGCAATCAAGAATCAGAAGTATGAATAGTCTTGCTTCTGTGCTGGCCCCTTTATAAAAGAGGAAGTCTTTCTTAGCATGTTTAATTTTCATCCTTACTAGTGAAGCAGGTGACTAAAACTAAGGTAGTTTAGAGTTTATCCGAATTTTGCAGAGACCTGATTAAGAACTCATAACTCCATAACTATCAATTTCTCCATGAGCAAAGTGAAAAGGAAATACTGTGGCTATAGGGAAAATATTTGTATGGGGCTTGTTAAATAAAAATGGGAAAAGAAAAACCTCAACATTGTACGCATAAATGCTAAAGGCTTTAAAATATATCCAGGGTGGAAGAAGACCTGGATAAAGAGCAAAGTTCAATAAGTAGAAAAGAAAAACATAGGAGGAAGGGACCCAATATAAATCTTTATGAATTTTGTGAGAAATTATAATATTTGTAGGAATTTTAAGAATCTTTATGGCAGAAAATGCTAGAATCCTTCTAGACTATTTCCCTCCCTAGATGTGTTTGTGTGTGATCTATGCATTTACATTTACAACTGGATGTGGAAATCTGTATGGCTTTGCTTTGAGATAAGGGTATGTGTATAAATCAATCCTACATATTTTCCAACACTTTTCATTAATGTTCCATGAAAATCTGAGTCTTTCTGCCATGACGTCTTTTTTTCCTTATTACAAACAATGGGGCAATGAATATCAGAGCACATGCATTTTTGTAGAACGTGCCACTGGGTTTGGGGAGGATGCCGAGGAGTGGTATTGCTGGATTGGAGGGCATGTGAATTTTGTGACTACCACCAGGTTGCCCTAAAGGAAGATTCTGTCAATTTGTACTACCACATCAGCACTTGAAGGCACAAATCTGGTATTTTCTTTTTACTCTCATGAATACTTTGCAAAAATCAATCTTTTCAGTTGCCAAACTGAAGACAAGAAATGGTACCTCTTCGTTACTTTGATTTTCCTTCCCCTGATTTTTGAAGGGGCTGGGCTCTCATTTGCTCATTGAACACTTTAGTTTTCTCATCTGTGAGTTGTTTGCTTCTGTTTCTCACCGACTTTTTATTAGATTGGCGTTATTAATTTATTAATTTATGGAAACACGTGTGTATGTAAATATATATTTCATGTATTTTCTCTAAGTCTGTTTCTTATCTCATAGCTTTAAGTATGAAACTTTTATAATACAAGAGAAGCTACATATAGTGTAGTTCTTAAGAGCATGGAGTTTGGAATCAGACTTAAAGACAAATCCATCAATTTAGCTGTATGAGCACTAAATTACTTAATCTCCCTAAATCATCATTTTCTCACCTATACAAAAAGGTTAGTAATTATACATATTTTATAGGGTTTTGTGTAAGTGTGTAGAATATAGTAGTCACTATTATTACTAAAGAAGTTTTAAATTTATATATGATAAAAAATGAATCACTCTTTTCCTTTTGCCTTGTGCATTTTATGTATTAAGACCTTCTCTACCTGAGAGTAATAAATGCATTCTTTCTTTCTAAAAAAGAAATGCTATTATGCTGCTAGTCCTGAATGTATAATGATTTCTGAGAATTAAAGTAAATCTATTAAAATCACATCAATTACATCAGAGGTATAGAATGGATAGATTGTCCATTAGGGCTGCTGTAACAGAATATCATGGACTGGTGGCTTATAAACAAAAGAAATTTATCCTGCTGTTCCAGAGACTGAGAAGTCTATTATCCAACGCGCTGGTAGATTCAGGGTCTGCCAAGGGCCTGCTTCCTGGTTCCTAGACAGCCATCTTCTCTCCATGCCCTCACATGCTGAGAGGGCCGAGGGAGCTGTCTGGGGTCTCTTTTTTAAATGCATTAATCACCTCCCAAAGTCTCCTCCTTCAAATACCATCATGTAGGGAATAGGTTTCAACATATAAATTTAGGACACAAATATTCAGTCCATCGCAAAGATGTTAGATAATAATAACTAAATGGAACCCTATCATGATGATTGTATCAGGGAATAATAATTCTACCTCCTAAGAATTTCCCATGATACAATGAGAGAAGTACTTCATGAATCATTAGGTATGTGAACATTAGGTCTGGCCAGAAATAAGCCCAAATTCCCAAAACAGCATCATAAATCATTACTGGATTAACTACAGTAATCACTACCACCAAGACTGGCCTAACTGATTAAGTCCAATGTTCTATAGGACAAAGGTAATTGTAGCCAGAAGACCCAGTTTTGAGCATTAGCTATGTGACCATAAACCTATTAATCTTTCTGTAAAATGAAGATGAGCTAGATCCTGACTACCTCACAGAGTCATATTGTGAGGATAAGATCATACATGGAAATTTTTTGTAAATTATTAAGTTGGGAAGTTCACACAACAGAGCTGGTCCAAGTCCTGACCATAGGATTGGAAGATTTGGTCTACTGGGACACAACGTGGTGAGATTACAAAAGCAGAGGTTTTTTTGAGGTCAGTCAAAGCTGGGTTGAAATTTTGGTTTTGACACCCGTTATATTATTGTGGCTACTTTATCTTAAGCTCACTTCACCCATTCATAAAAATGTAGATTCATAGCTACCTAACAGGCATGTTATGAATATTAGCAAAGATGTTTTTTAAAAGTATCAATACTGTGCCTAACAGAGTAGGTTATCAACAAGTAAGTTCTTTCCACTTAAATCTGCATTACAATTGGCAATTGTTTTCAACTCACCAGATGCTAATACTGTCAACCCTTCTGCCCAGAAATTATATACTAAGATCTTGGATCAATACATTTTTAAAAAATCTAAGAACATACAATAAAGAAGAGAAATGTGTTCTAATTGTCTACCGCAGAATTCAAAGAATGAACAGTATACTATTAAGGGTGGATGTGTGACCTGGTTTTTAAAATGTTTACTACTCTTGAGAAAGGGATAATAGGAAAGAGGAATTGGAAGAGTTTGGTGATGTTAAAATGCCTTATAGAAAAAGCTCCTTTGGATTCATTGCCTTTCCTTTGTTCAATAGTGTTAATATGGTTGGAAAAAAAGAATGAGTTTTAATGAGAAATTGGAAAGAGGAGAGATAATTTTTATATTTTTCTCAAAAATATTTTATTATGCCTTTCTATAGAGTTACAGGGAAGCAGCCATCGGTGCTGTGCTGATAATTTGCTCTGTCTGATCTCTACCTCAGAATGACAAAGCTCATGAATCGGATTTTAAAAACAATTTCTAAGTTGGAGTATTTCAGCAGCCAGAGTTGGGAATGGACCACATACAATACAGAAATGCTGATGTCTCAGATGAGCCCTGAAGACCAGAGAGTAAGTACAGTACTGGTGTAACCAACAGGAAAATCTTAACTCATTTGGAATTTAGAATCATTTGACCTGGAAAACTGATGAATAAAGTTTTAGTTATATACACAGAATATTTTCCCTAAGAAAATCAAAGCTATAAACGTAGTTGCAGGAAACAAGTTGAATGAAAGTAAAAGATCTAGGTTCTTGGACTTTGGCTAGATCCTCATTGCTGTTCTGCAGTCACGTTTTATATCCTTCCCTTTAATCCTTTGTTCACCCTCATAGCTGTTATCTTTTTCGACAAACCTTCCATACTTCTATCTTTCCCCTGCCACAGCTAATTAATTTGATGAAAAAAATAATCATTTTATCGCTCTTAAACTCATCTACTGTTCTTGTCAAATCAAAATTGTTCAGTGTCTCCAAAGCTATAGTTTCTTCTTAGTTTTTAAAGCTAACTCATACCCCTACTTATTCTATTCCATCTGAGATCTCCCTCCATCAGTATTGCCTTCTCTCCAGCACTGATTTCTTCCTGCAATGATTTCAACAATTCAGACTTATTTCTCAAGACAGGCCTTTAATTGCTTATCATCAGTGCCATTTATTTCTTTACATTAGCTTCTTGGCAGTCACAACAATAAGCCCTGAAATCTTTGCATATTCTGAAAGTTGCAAATATAGAAATCCTTTGTACTTTGTACATGCTCTTAGCTTTTTTTCCCCTCAAAGAATCATGAGTTCCCTGAACATATTAGTTTTTCAATTAAACTTTAAAATTTTCACTCCCTTGTTTGACATTTTCCTCTAAAAATATTTCTTAAAAGATAAAAACATTTCTTGATTTCAATTGTACCTGACAGCATGTAAAAGAAATCGAGTCATATTGAGAAGTAAATGTTAGATGGCTAGCTAGCCTCACTTGCCAGCTGAGGATTTTACTGCTACATACCAGTCTCATAGAGCATGGTTTAAATCCAAGTCCTAGAATTACTTTATTTCATGGAACCTAAGGGTTATTTGCAAAGCCAAACACTGTGAATGTTATATTAATAAACCAGATGAGATTTAGAGATATTTTAACTAAAATCATTACCAAGTACCTCTAAAATTGACATGAAATAGAGTTATTTTCAGAAATGTTTACATACCTTGTATAGATAAAATTCCTCTAAGCACCTGTTTGAAATGCCTGGATGATGATCAAACCAGGTATTAAAAAAAAAAAAAATCCCAAACTTTGTACATTATTTTTAAAAAGCTTCAAATTTCTTTTCTCCATGGAATTTACCCATCTAAATAATTCAAAAGGTTTCATTTTTGACATTTTACTATTTTAACCTAAAATAACATAATTTTGTGAAAAGAAAATCAAATCTGCAGTGAATTTACCATATGCGAAGGTAATAGTCTCAAATACTTGTATTTAATTGCCAAACTCTAGTATGGCTCAGACTCCAGTTTAATTTGCCATATGGAATCAGGTTTCCAACCTAGGGCTTCACTGAAATCTAACTTAGAAATGTGAAATAGTAAAAGTAAATCCTCTGTTCATATAGATGAATAAATAATATTTAGTGATAGTTTGGGGGAAAAAAAAAAAAACATATCCAAACAAAGCAATACAGGATGACTTTTGGAAAGCAATTCAGCTTTTGGTCAAGATTATGAAGCTCTCTGTAACTTATTAATTTCATCTGCTCTTTGTTAATATTCGAAATTCTCAAAAAGATTTGAGATGTCTTACAATAAACACACATAATAAATAATAAAATAAAAATAAAACATCAAACCAGAGAAAATATGAATTAAAATATGAAGTCAAGGGTAAGAATGAAAAATAGTATATACATATGTAGTCTACAAGATCCTACTAAGTCACTATAGTGAAACAGGGAATTTGTTCTTGAGCAAATTAAAAGGCAAAATAAAAAGGGAAATACCATGGTATTCTTTGTCCAAGAGGAGAAAATATACTAATGTTACAAGAAAAACAAAGCTTTCCTTATCACTTAACTCTGTTTTTGAATGGCTTTATTTAATGGTACACTTAGAGATATAATAGACAATATCTCTAAATCAAATACAAAATATAAATTCTGCTAAGCTGTTCCTCAAGGCTTTGCTTCCCCAAATTTACCTTAATCTGCCTAATGAATTGTGATATAATAGGAAAGGATGGTAGGCCACAGAGATGCCAAAACATGTAAGAGAAATGGAAAAGACACACAGTTTGTTGGGGTCCTTAACATATTATTCCATCACTTTAAAAAAATGAATTCACATTTACCTGAAATGAAATTAGCTTTCACCAGACTAATACCAGATCTCTAAATTTCCCTTACAAGACTTTCTAAAGATCAAATGTTCATGCTTGATTCAGGTTTAAATATTGCTATGTAAACAGTAATTCGTATTGTCAGTGCCTTTGAAATAAAAGTTCAAATAATCTCCTTTGCAGAAGTCCACCCTGTCTTCTGAACTGAAGGTTGGTCATCTGTGTAAAAGAAACTTCATTAACTGGACAAAGTGATTGTCCAGCAGCGCAACTCTAGCAATCCGTTCTCTCTTTTTTCCTTTCAGGTATTCGACTTCGATGTGCGCCAGTTGAACTGGTTGCAATACACTGAAAATTATGTTTTAGGAATTAAGAAGTACTTATTGAAAGAGGATATGGCTGGGATTCCAGAAGTAAAGCAACACTTAAGAAGGTAAGCAAGATCAGTCAGTTAATACTTATTGAGCACTTATTAGGGATATCTGATTTTATACTAGACATGAAATTTGAGAGAAGAGGAATTAACATTTTTTGAGCATTTGCTGCATAACAGGTCCTTCCTTGAATACCATGTCCTGTAATACACTTTCATTTAGACTTCACCACACCTCTATGAAGCCAGTATTATTTCTGTTATCCCATTTTTATCAAAGAGCTAGTTAGACTCAAAGAAGATAAGTAACTTGTTCTTGTAACACCTTGGTAAGTATGAGAGACAAATTTGAACCAAAGTTTCTCTGATTCTTCTACCACAGCCTGTCATAATGTGATATAGAAAAAGGATACCCAGCAGGCAGGAGACCTGATAGTACCATTTAACATGGACAAATCACTTAACAACTCTTTAAGTCCTTCAACTGCCTTAAAATTCTTTAAGGGATGAAGAATTATAGCAGTCTTGTGTAATTCTGGTAAAAGAAAAGGGTTTTTAATGCAGAGATGGTAAGGATGGAAAAGTAAATTGCAAACAGAGGAACCGTGAATAGTAAGCTAAGAACTTTAGGACTTGCCCGCTAGTGAACAAGAACCAGAAGATTTGTGATATGGTAATATGGTCAAAGTATATTTAAGAAAGATTATCTTAGCCATGTTTGCAAGATAGGTTAGAGAGAGGTATGAGAAAGAGAAACTAGTTGGAGAATATGATGGAAATCTGATTATTGAGCAGGAA